CACGCTGCATTCTGCACTGATAGACTGCTCACGGCATTCATACTGTACTCTGCATTGCATTCTGCACTGATAAACTGTCTACAGTATACTGATGCATTTCCCTTTTATGTACTTTTTCAGCCCCCTTTCCAGATTCCCATGGCAGGAGGTGCTCCAGCTAGACCTTCTGTTCCTGCCCGGGGGAGAGATGAGGAGGGCCGAGTATTCCCCCGCTCCAAGGCGGGGCGTGCTCATGTCGGGAGCAGCTCACGAGCTCCAGTCCCGGATGATGATGATGACGAGGAGTCAGAGGCAGAGGTAGAGGCGGAGTCCGAGTCATCGGAGGAGGAGTCCGGAGGCGGTTCTAGCTCGGGCTCTGACGACGATACTGATGATGCTCCTGGACCCTCGTCCAGGAAGAGGACCAGGACAGACTGACGGCCCTTGGAGTGATCGACACAAATGCGGATTTTTGTTATTTTTCTTCTTTCTTGTACTATTCCTTTTTTCCTTGGTAGTTAAATTACCTTGTACTGCCGCAGGCAGATTTTGTTTTCTTCAAAACTTTGTACCTAAAAAAAAAGATTATGAAATGAACAGATTTTTGCTTAAAAAGTGTTACATTTACATATCTCATGTATTGCATCGCATTCCATCATGTTACACCTCAATGTAAATGAAATTGATTGGTTATCTGAAAATTGAACACTCGCACTGTAATAATCAGATAATTAAACAGCCAACAGCAAAATAACCCAAGCAACCCACTGCCTGATTCTGGACACACAGCCCTTACTCTGTTGGGGATTAATCTGCATACAGCCCATAACACAACATTCGGTTCATTCTGCACATAGCGCACCCCGAACAAACAGCCCAATCTGGCAAGACGGACTACAGCGGTGAAACCAGCTGAAGTTGAAATACAATCGGATATAGAGAATGGCACAACATTCTGAGCATAAACGATTAACTTTCGGAAAAGGGGTTTTCTTAACCGGGGTATCGAGCCTACAACTGAACACAGCGGGGAGGACTCAAACAAAAAGGTACACGACCTAAACACAACGAGACACGCTCCGGAAAGACTAAAAACAAAAGACGAGACCGTCAAATGAAAGAGACACGATACACAGACGCGTTAGCGAAGATGGGGGACCTCGGACCACGAGGAGCCAGTTCAATCTGGGTATTGTTTCCCACCTCCTTCTGATTTGTGATTATCACATCACTCGGCTCTCGAGCTCGGATTTTCTCTCAAAAACCCTTTTCCTAACTTTTCTCTCAACTTACACCTCTCTATTCTTCATTCTCTCATTTTTCATCCCTCCCCAGGGTGATTAATGGATAAATAGAAAGGTGTGGGTTCATGCTCAACACCGTTAGCTCCCGACTATTTCTTCTGACGGGTAGAGCGCTCTTCTGGCAAGTACGTTGATGACGGGGGAAAGACAGAACGCCTGGCTCAACTGTGCCCCTAGTCCATCATTTTAACCATTTTTTGTTTTGGTTTTCTACTAAAACAAGTTTGATCAAAATGAGAGTCGGATTAACGTACTCGTTCGGTTTTTTATTTGAAAACCATGCGAGTCAAGCTATAAGCACTGAAAATTTTCCTTTTGGGTCCAAGACAATGGTCCAGTTTTGGAAAATGAAATAGTTTTCGAGAAAATAGTCAACCTAAGTAAAAATTTTCAAAAAAAACTATTTTTCAAACAGTCAATGCTCAACGGGCATGGAACTTACCCTTTGAGATGCGCAACCTCGGATCGGAGGCAATGGAAAATTGCCCCTGGTTTGAAGGGGGAGTGGGAGGCAACGGAAAGTTGCCCCTGGTTTGAACGGCGTCTCGTGGCAACGGAAAGTTGCCCCTTGTTTAGGTGGTGCCGCAGCAGTCTGCAAACAGTCTTCATTGGCGGTGGTCGAGCTCTTGGACACAGCGATGACAAAGACGGTCACAACACATATATGGACACAATCACCTTGAAGGGTGTTGGCCACTGGACTTTGAAATGAAATCGAAACCATTGCATGGACTGAGACGCTATGAAAGCGTTGGGGGCTGGACTTCATGATGAAGTTGCCTACGTATCCCAAACATGGGAATCAAAAGAAAATAAAAAGAGAAGTAACCACGGCGCTGCTGTGTATATAAACTGGACAGGCTCGCTCGAGCGAAGACTTGGTCGCTCGAGCGACCAGACACAGAAAA